AGTATTGTAAACTACAACATTCAATCTACGACTTTTAACAATTTTACCACAAACGAATTTTTCTTTCCACTTACAAAATCACCAGTTGCCCCTGTAGAACCGATCGATTCCATCCACATCATCACATACATGCCGCAATCATGTCTGTTACAAAATTTGAAAACCACACATGTCAATTATGATGAATACTGCATAAATTAATCTTTCTATTTGTGATAACATCTCATACCCATTCAATTGCTTATTCTTCTTATGCTCCACAAATTTGAAATTTTTCAAGGGATAATTTCCTAGAGATCCACATGATTCAACCCAAATGCGTTTCTTATTATAAAAATCTAATATTTTAATCTGCATTAAAATAGAAGAAGTTATGATCCAAAAACATTATGCATTATAATTTACATAATGTCCTTTCATACATACATACATACATACATACATATCAATCTCTTAGTATCCTTCACTCTCTATTTAGCTGCTTCAGTTGTAAACATACTATCATATATTATTGCAACACAATCTACCATATCCAACACCAACAGATACCAATGTGAATTATGATAGTTTATTGTGATCATGATCTGCAACAAATTTCACACCCAATTTGACAAAATTCAACATTCTATATCCGAAAACATCATTTGCAATCGGTATGGTGTCTTACCTTCTCACAATCGATGAATTTCACATAGTTATTCAATATGGGACCCCAGAAGGTAGCAATACTCTCAACACTTTCTTTGCTGTTGGCATCCAACGCCTGCTGCTGCAATTACGCAACAAACATTATTAATTTACCGTCTATAACACTACTTATCTCCATTTATTAATTTAACTCACCGCTAAGTGGTATAGAAGGTAGCCAATCCTCCGGAGTGACTTCTGAGAATCGTAGCATACTGTCTAGGCGAGCAAATCAATAACTTAACAAAATTAATTACACAATCAGAACATATTCAATAAGTTTTAACATTTTCTACTTTCTACTTACCACACCGCCAACCCATTCTGTAGGCTTCAACGTTGCAACGTCGTATACACTAACGAATTGATTTCCCATTGAGATTACAAAATATCTGTATGAATCATTAGGATTAATATGTTGTCATGAAATATTTAAATATAACTCACAAAGCAATATATTTCACTTACTCCGATTCTAACTCACTATTCCATAAATAATCACAAATTGCAGCTTCGATGTCATCAATTCCGCTTGGAATATCCGCTTTTTCAACCTACAATTTTGCATACAAATTTTTGTCACAACAACATAATAAAAATCAAATTAAGTTTTCTTTTATTCAACTTACCTTCTACTTCTTCTTCTGGGGTGCAAGACATTTCGAATCCAAATCTGCTGCTATAACACTCTTCGGTGTATAAATGACATCGACTTCCTTCCTCCTCATTTCTTCCATCTCTTCTTCTTCCTCCTCCCTCTTTTCTTCTTCATATTTTTTCAGTTCATCGTATTTTTTTTTCTACATAGCTCTTCATCTCTTTTATTTCACCCTTCAATTGATCTCCTTCATCAAAGTATTTATCAACCACCCATTTCACCCTCGTAAGTTCACTCCTCAATTCCACAACCTCCTTCACCGCTCCCTCAAATTTTTCACCCGTCACCATCTTAATATCACCCCTTAACACCCCAACTTCTTTCACCACTTCACCCCTCAACACCTCTACTTCTTTCACCACTCCATCTATTTTTCCTTCCACTACCCCCTTATGCCTCTCAAGTGTATCTTCGACTCTCTCAAGTTTCTCTTCGACTCTATCAAGTTTCTCTTCGACTCTTGATTGTCTTTGCATGATATCAAATTGGATTTTTTTGTTATCAGCCAATTCAGACATCAAAATGTCGAAGTTACTATGTTTTCCCTCACCGTCGTCCCACTCACCGTCATCCCCCAATACAACCATCTCTCTTTTCTTCTCCACTGCCTCCTCTACATCCTTGCCAATAACCTTCAAAATTAAATTACAATATTAAGACATTAATTATATTCTTAATATTATTTAATTACATTTATTACCCTTTCTTGCTTCTTCGCTCTATCCAACTTCAACTTCACCATCACTCTAACTACCTCTTCCTTCCCCCATACACGGATGCGTGCCACTCCGGTTCTTTCATAAGCCGGCACTGCCTCACAGCCCGACCAAAAATCGAACAGTGCAACCTGCATTTATAATAAAATTTATATTTTTATATAAAAACACAAAAAAGTTCTTCAACTCATTTACCTCTAAGATTGCTATGCACCCTTTGAGGTATCTCTGGCTGCCCTTTTTAAAGGTGATTATTGATTCAATCAATCTCGAATTGATATATTCAGCCCAATTGAATTCACCTTTCAAGCCTTCATCGCAAATGAGCTTCATATGTTCCTTGTTCGTTGACGTATGACCCGTTGGACAAAGAAAGATACCGACAAGGTATAATAGAACTCTGGCCTTCAGCTCATCCCCAACGTAAGATCCACTTTTTATTTCCTCTTCAATTTCAGCATATGTCACCTTCTGCTTCAAACCATATTTGGAGGCAAGTGCTTTCCAGTCCTTACTCTTACAGACTTCTACAACACTTTTGCCTTCATTTTCTAACCCCAATACGGCTGCAGCACATGGGATCCCGAGAGGAAATGAAAAATCACCATACTTAGCAATACATTGTCTGACATCAAATTGCGCCATCAAGGATCGACACAATTCCCTCCGAATAGGTCAATCCCTTACTCCTACCAACGATCCAAAACCTATTTCTCCCAACACATTCAACTGACCCTTCTCCTTAAGGTGTTTAATTAATGAATTCACCCTTTTAATGATGCATCTTGTCGACACTTCCTACATTTTTTAACAATATATAATGTTATAGTTCTTATATATTTTGTATCAACGTATTTACAAGTTTAATGAATACCTTATTTTCATGTGCTTTCCTCTGTTCTTTGTATTCTTTACTATCATTCCTTGACTGTGTGATGTAAGGTTCCTTTTCAGCATCACTCATTGAATTCCATTTGGACCTCACATCTTTTGTCACCTAATATTAAACATAAACGTTTCTTAATCAATACATTAACACTAAATACTACTCAATGTCAATTTTATTTTACATACCGAACCGCTCTGTGTGCCATCTTCCTTCATCCTTTTGCATTCGGCCATACTGTCAACATTTAAAATTTGTAATCAATTTAAAGTTTATCGATACTTTAATCCAATTACCATTTCAACAATAATAACAAAAAGACATTAATACTTACTAGAAGTACATATATCCACCCTTTGATTGCTTTCGAGTCTCGGCCTCAATTTCAAAGTCATCTGCGCCACCAACAATTTTTCAACCAATTGACTCAATTTTTCCTTCATATATCAGTTTACGCAAATCAAATTATTTTGTTACATACACTTTATTCAATATACAAATATAGATAACTACTTTTGTGGTAAAACGGTTTTCTTCAAAAGAATTTGAATGGCCACTACAAAATGTGTCGGCACATTTATACAACCTATAATATCATTTTCTACCTATAATATTTAATAAAAGTATCGACATTTATATTTTACCTTTAATATCACTTTCTACCTGCAATCGGTCCCAAATGCTTCTTTACTCCAAAACCCCAAACAACACATAAAAACCCTATTTGCGATTACTGTAATAATAAAAAACTAGGGTTTCGACAACATACTTTTCGATTCGACTGCATCAACAAACAAACAAACATCGCTTTAGAAACGTCTTCTGAAATGCAGCAATAATTACGCTTCGATTTCAAAAACTCGTCCGTTCTATCGATTTTCAGAGGATATTTAGATATGACCTTTATATTTTCATCGGATATGTTATTTATATTTAATCGATACAAATACAAAAGTGTCGATACTTTTATGTCAGGTGTCGATACTTTCGAAAGGATAATTACCTATTTCTTTGAAAGTGTCGATAATTTATTACACGTACTTACGAAAGTATCGACACTTTCAATATATCCGGTATCGTTTTACCGGTTTTATCATTTTGATACCGGTTTTATCATATTTTTACTTGTTATATCGTTGTGGATCGATATATTTTTTTAAAGTATCGACACATTATAGGCGCTAAAACTGCTTCTCTTTTAAATTCACAAAGTGTCGATCCTTATATAAAGTATCGACACTTTCAATATATCCGGTAACGTTTTACCGGTTTTATCATTTTGATACCGGTTTTATCATATTTTTACCTGGTATATCGTTTTGGATCGATACATTTTTAAAAGTATCGACACTTTATAGGATTTAAAACTGATTCTCTTTTAAATTCACGAAGTGTCGATCCTTATATTAAAGTACCGACACTTTAAATGTATCCGGTAGCGCTTTACCGGTTTTATCATTTCAATACCGGTTTTGTCATAGTTTTACCTGTTATATCGTTTTGGATCGACACATTTTTAATTTGGATCGACACGAACCGACAAGTTAAGTTTGCCGATTGCACAATTTTTTAATATTTCTTCATGACTTAGACCTACTACATTATTATTAGTCAACATTTCCGGTAGCCCTAAACCGAATTTATTAAATATTTTTTAATGTATCCGATAACGCCGTATATTAGTCGTATATTAACCCGCGTTTTCTAAGACAATCCCATTAAATGCATGCATGTGGTCAGGAATAAAAGTGAGGGTCCCACAATTAGGTCTGAAAGTTGCGAAGCCAACAAGAGATAACCCCAAACTCAAACGGAAACATTGCCAATTGGAACTTGGCTTCTTTTAGAACTCAGAAAGCATAATTTGACAGACTCAAACAAAAAGCTGAAACAGTGGCTCTAGAAATGGAAACAGGACGAGTTGGAGCCGGGATAAGGGCAAATATCAAGAGAAATATGTATACACACGCATTCACATACACTAATCTAAAGATATGCATTGAATTTAAAAAAATATACATACACATACATATATATATATATATATATAAGTCTTATCTTCAACATATTTTGATTTCATGGAGTTCCCTTTTATCTCTAAATCTCTTTGTTTATGTAGACAGTAACATGCATGAAACTTAACCATGGTTGCTGGTGAAAGACTGGCGGTGAAAACAATGGTTCAAGAAGATCAAACAACCAGCAGTACTGGTAAATCATGCAAGAAGCGAAGGCCTAAAAAGGTACCCCAAAGAGGGCTGGGCGTGGCACAGCTAGAGAAGATGAGGTTAGAAGAACAACAGAAGAAAGATCCCTTCTGTAGGTCACCTTCATCTTGTGAGTTCAACGTTGAAAGGGAGTGGTTTTGGTTGGATCATGGTTGGGATTTTAGGACGAGTTTGGGAATTGAACCAGTTTGGCCTTTGCCTGGTCTGATGTCGAGTGGACGACAACCTTTGAGACAGCATCTACAGCAACAATCTTCTTCTTCTTCTTCTTCAATGGTTAGAATTGCTTTGATTTGTTGGTCTTGTTAATGAAAATTAGGGTGGATTAATGGTGTGTTTTTTATGCAGGTGAATTTGTCATCAAGAACTTCATCAACATCTGTAATGAATTTTCAGATGGAGCCCCCTTCAAACCAAAGCCATTATACATATTTTAAACCTTTCTTGCCTGGAGAGAAGGTATACACACATGCATACATACATTCATACATACAAGTACGGACGCACATGCATGCATGCAAACATACATACATACATACAAGGAATAGGTAGGAGGGGGCATTGTCCCAACTATGATGGTTTAATTGTATTTAAGCCACTGATGATTTTGAAATTATTGAAATTAAGTCTTTGCTCCTCTCAAATTCTTCTGGTTTAATTATTTTAAAGATTTCCTTTTCAATTTTAAAATGAATAAAATTAAGCTTTGACCGAACTTTTTCGATTTAATTACTTTTTAAGACCTCTCAATTTTAAAATTAATGAAATTAAATCTTAACTCTCTTAATTTTATTGTTCAGTTATTTTTAGCACCCTATTCACTTTAATATTAAACAATTTAATCCTCTTATAGTTCGATCTTGACTTTCTGCCTGCATATATATATATACATACATGCATTTCAGCCATTGGGAAAAAATAGTTTTAAATTTATCTTTCCATTAATTTACAGATCAATAAAGAATTAGGTTTTCTTTCTTTTTCTTATGTTTTTAAATAAAAAAAAATTCTTAGAAATGAAGCATTAATTCTCTTATTTTTAAGCCTTGATATTATCATGTAACAATGCTTTATTGTTGTAGGTGATTGCCATGAAGAGACCATACCCTTTCTCCCTGGACAATGTTCCAATCCATTCTTTTCACACAAAATATTATCCTCCCGTTGTTCATGCCAACAATGGACCATTTGAAGCTACTTCAAATACTAGCAAAGTTACCACATTCAATTCCGAATCCGGCACCTCGAATCCCAGGTTCGATTTTTACTTTTCGTCCCCATAACATCATAAACCGCAAAGTCTAGGATTCAAACCCCGAACTTTCTTTTTCGATCTTTTCCTAGGGAAGGGCCTTCATGTTCAACCTCAAATGGGGATTTTGCTAGAGGTTTTCTCACATTAGCCCCTCCAACAACGACATCAATGTGTTCAACCTCGAAATCCAAGCATCCTCGATCAAATTCAATCCCTTATGAATTGCCAGTGAGAAAATCTCATATTCTCATTGATTTTATGCTTATTTGATCATTTTTTTGCATATATAAAACTCTGTGTGTTTGAATTTGAAGGCAAGCTTTGAGGAATCGATAATGGAACAAGGTGGCAGTGGATTAAATCTGCAGCGACCTTACTATAGCTTCTTTCCACCACCTGAAATGGCGGAAATTGAACGAGCAAGTGCAGTAACAATGGCTAATTGTAAAAGGCCGGAAGAAGCTGCTGGACACGTTGATCTCAATTTAAAGCTATAAATTCATGCACATTTGAATGAAATAAGCTCTTGTTTTGTATCATTATGGTTTTTTTCGATGAAAAAAATATCGAGAATTCATGGAATGACCACTGTTTTTCTTTAAATGATTCGAGTTCGAATTCGAACAGTTGCTCTGAAAAAAGTCGCAACGAAGACGTATAAATCAATCTAAAAAATAATGAAAAGACTAAAGTGAACATTCCACTAAAATAGAAAGGTCATTTTAGATATTAAACCTAAGAAATCATTCTACATAAGCTATAAAAATATCTTAATACCAACTTCAGTCCCTCTACTTATAAAAATTCAAAAAAATGCATGAATTATAAATCAAATAATTATTATTTTTTTTTTATTTTGCATTTGGTTGGTGAATGAGTCAGATAATTGGTAACAAACTTTTGCATGTGCCGTTTGTGAATATCTGATTAGGCTTTGTATTGTCTTTGTCAATCTGACCCTTCATTATATAAGTTGCAGAATGGTGACATCTAGGAGGGTCCACATGGGATCGTATAGGAAAATAAGAGACTCATATTACCATATATATATAACATAATGTTTTTTATACAGTAATGATATAATAAATTGATTAAATTGTTGTTTAATTAAGTGAAACTCTAATGCTATAGGAAAATCACATGTAATACGTAGGTCGGTCCGGATTAATTAGGATGAAACCTGAAACTAGAAGGATAAAAAATATTAATTATTTTAAGTGTCACGTATGCTATTTTTTTTATTAATTTGGGGTAAACATAAGATATTATATGTTTAAAGATAACTCTAAACTATTTGATATTAAACGTTCACATCTCTCGTATTCATGTTGCTCAAGCAAGGAATCTCAAGGAATAACATAAATTTATCTACCACCGAAGTTGTTTAGTTCGTGTCACGTATGTTATAATTGATCGTTAAAAAAGTATAGAAACGACTATTATTTAATATATATTATATAAAATTTATTTTGTATAATTTATTTATTTTAAACATTAAACCCTAAATTTTAAACATAAATATAATTGTGTGCCAGATAAATTCCTTTGCATATCATTTATCTTTTCTATGAACCTACATGTTTCATTATTCATTAACTATGCTTGTTATCTCAACTCCAAGTCTGATGATAAAAAAAATATTAGAATTATATTTATTTGAACTATGCTTGTTATTTTTTTAAAATAAAATACTATTTAAAAATATTTTTTAAAAATATGAACCTAACATGTGTCATTTAACGGTTTTTTAACGATAGACACCTAAAAGTGTGACGGAGAAAACATTAGTCACATATTTTTAATAAAACATTATTTAAACACTAAAAGTCAATTTTGAGTATAGTTTAGATATTTATTTTGATATTAAGTATTTTTAGTAAGACAAATTTATGTAAATAGATAGTATATTAAGACCCCGTTTGGCGTGACTTTCTAAAATCACTTTTAAGTGAAAAGTCCGTTTTAACTGTAAAATCAATGTCAAACTGATAAAATTTGAAGAAAAAAAATATTACGGTGGAAACAGTAGTTTCGAACCAACTGCAAAAGCTAGGATATCTAGCTTTTTCAGTTTCAACTTTGTGTTTGGAAGCAAATTATAATTTTACCCTTATTAACACATGGGTTCCACTAAATTATGTATTTACATTTTATTTTAATAATTTAATACTAACATCCTTAAAAAAATAATTTATCACTTAATAATTTATTTCAATTACTAGTGTTTTTTATAATATTCTTTTTGTCAAAAAAATATTTAAATCATTATTTCATAATAATTTAATATACACGTGTTAAAAAGTATTGATAATATATTTTTCTTAATAAAATATTATATATATATAAATATTATTAATGAGTTATTTTAAAATATTTTTTATATTTTAATTATAGTTTAAGTTTATATATATTTTATATAAGTGTAAATATATTTTAAATATTATATTTTAAATTTACAACATAATATCTATAATAGACATTTTATCTTTTAAAATTTAATTTTAAACAACAATACCAAATAATCAAATTTTAAACTACACTTTTATAATATCTTTTAAAAATTCATTTAAAGCCATTTTTTAAAAGTTACGTGAAACTGACCGTCAGTTATTCCCCCCACCCCCCTTTTGTTGTGGGCTTGTGGCGACCAATGAAGTTGTTGGGCCCTTTTTCTCACGGACACTACACATTTCAGCAATGGGTTGAAAAATATACCATGTTGTCTCATTTAAATTTTTATTTTTTTAATATTTTTATTAATAATCTTTTTTTATTTTTTTAAAATTTTATAAGTATATACTCTTTTAAAATTTTTATAAAATTTTTATTAACGGGGTTGGTTGAAGTGGTCAGCAGGTTGATATCGCTTAAGCAATGTCTTAGGTTCGAGTCCTTGTGTATGCAGAAAATCTCCGTTGAGATACTCACCCACCAAAGCTAGAGGTACGACCTGGGTTGATCTAGATTAGTCAAGACGAAGCCTTGAAACGGGCAACCAAATCTTTTTTTTTTATAAATTCGTTCCTTAGTATAAAATCTTAAACTGTGTTCGTATATGTAAGCTAAAAACAAGTAACAAACGTTTAGGGTTTAAGGGGTCTTATATTAGGATTATAATTTAAGGTTTAAAATTGATATTTCTCTTAGAAGCAGGGATATGTATGCTTCGTTTCATTTAAAAAAACTAATTTTTCTTTCGATTCATTTCAATTATCGATATTTTATATTAATTTTTAAATTTTATTTTATGACTTTTAAAATAATATTAAATGGCTAACAAAAACCAAGAAAAGATAAATAATAATAAAATAAATCAGCAATTATTTTGTTATTTGATAAACAATCAGACATATCCACCGTTATCTCTGACAACACTAACTAATTACAAAAGTTAAATCAAATTATTTTAATCATAATAAATTGAAAAAAAAAAACAGACCGATTCCCCAAACAAAACCCACACTAATTAATTAATTTAAGGGTAAAGTATAGTAATGGTCACTGAACATTTCTAAAGCTTGCATTTAGGTCCCTCAACTTTTAAAAATTGCAATACAGTCCTCCAACATTTATTCCGTTTGCAATATGGTCCCCCAACTTAAACCACCATTAGAAAATTAGGGTAAATTATATAAATGGTCATTGAACTTTTTAGGCACTTGAATTTAGGTCCCCCAACTTTTAAAACTTGCAAAACAGCCCTCAATTTCATTCTAAACCCCAAATTCTAAAGTAATTCAATTTTATTCTAAACCCTAAATTCCAAAATAATTCAATTGAATTCTAAAATACTTCAATTTAAGGTTTAGAATGTAATTGAATTATTTTGGAATTTAGGGTTTAAAATGAAATTGAATTACTTTGGAATTTTGAACATGAATTTACTATTTAGAATAAAATTGAATTACTTTGGAATTTGGGGTTTAGAATGAAATTGAGGGCTGTTTTGCAAGTTTTAAAAGTTAGAGGACCTAAATTCAAGTGCCTAAAAAGTTCAATGACCATTTATATAATTTACCTTAATTTTCTAACGGTTGTTTAAGTTGGGGGACCATATTGCAAATGGAATAAATGTTGGGGGACTGTATTGCAAGTTTTAAAAGTTGGGGGACCTAAATGCAAGCTTCAGAAATGTTCAGTGACCATTACTATACTTTACCATTAATTTAAAAATGAAAAAGAATGAAATTGTCACCCTCCTATCTTAGAACTCCACGTGTCCCTTTCGTTTTGCCCTTCATTTTATTTTGTTTGACTTAAAGGGACCCCTACACTAATAGAAAATCAGCAATTGGGAAACACACAACGTGAAAAAAAAAAGAAATAGCCCCGTTGTTAGATAGCTTTATTGCATTATTTTTATTCCCTTGATCAACTCACGAGTTGTTCTTCGTTCTCCGGCGGCTGCTGCGACGGTTGTTGATGCGGTGGTGCACGGTGGTTGTTATCGTTGTTCGTTTCCTTGAGGCTTTGTTGTTGCTGATAGACTTGTCTTAGTCTCTCGATTTCCTTCTTCAATGCTTCTTGATGAGCTGGAATTTTAATACAAAAATTTAATATTTAAGCAATTAAGATAATGATAGTAATCAATTATAGGCAAAAAGATATTAGAATTCCATGTAATTTTATCGTATCATCTGCATGTTAATCTATCACTTTGAATTATCATATGAGCACGTGTACTGCCATAAACGTGGATTTGCCTTATATAATCAAGAAACGAGTGTTACCATCTTTGAAGATATTGTCTTGAGCCAAAGCTGCAATTCTTTGCTTCAAAGCGCTATTATCAACATTGAGAATCAGTCTTTGATGATCCAAGAATGCAACCCTTGGTGATAATGCTGATACTTCACCCTTCATTTTTGTATATAAAATCAAAATTTGTTTATTTTTTTTATAAAATAAGTATATAAATATGGATAATATAATATCATAGTCTAATTTGCACCTGTAATGTTGTGACGCTCCTTTCAAGCTCTGAAATATATTGCAGCTTTCTCACTCTTGATCTCTGTGCTGATTGCCGGTTTGCCAGAATTCTGTTCATTGTTCATATCAACGAAAGGTTTAAATATGGTTGGGGGGGGACAATGGGGTTTGTTTTTTTAATGTTTCTTTTACCTTTTAACCCTCTTCGGATCAACGAAAGGGTCGCCATTGGAGTTTGATGGGGGCTGACCAGCTTGTGGTTCGGGTGAGCTCTCCACCTCTCCCGGTTCATTCTTGGGCTGTTGCAGATCCAGGGACGGCGCCGATTTCTCATCATTGTTGCTGTTTTGATCCGACGTCGATGAGGATACGGTCAGGGCAGCAGCCATGGTGATGACGGCAACGTCGTCGGACAACATAGACATGAGCTGCTCGTCGTCATCGAGGCTCATCATGGCATTGTTATTATTGTTGGAGTACCTATGATCTTCCACTAATGGTTGCTCGAGGAAAGCGATGGAGTCGCTGATGGAACGACGGTGAGCCCCGCGGCGTGCCGACGAGAAGTCGAGGAACTCGTCCACCCACGAAGACTGCTGGCGGTGGCTGTGGTGGTGGTGGTTTGAGCCATCCACGAAGTAACTGTGCCAATTCTGGGTCATGTTGGGCACTTTTGGAGGTAATTGTGCCATCCTAAAACCAATGACACAAACCCCAAACTCAAAATACAGAACACGAAGCAAAATGAATCATAGAAAACACTAAAACCAAAGCTAATCTAAATCAATAACAACTAGCCAGCTAACTACACAAACCAACACAAAATCTTTACAGAAAAGCCCCTAAATAAAAGGAAAGTATCAAGAGAGGTGGCATCAACCATATTGAGTATTATTAGTTTATATCTTAGGGGGAGGTGGGTCACATGGGGGGTGGGGATTAGGGACAGCTAAGCAGCAGCTGGCGGCTTTTCTCCGATTGGAATCGGCACCACCACGTGCCGATGTGACCCTTTTGATTGGCATCAACCATATTGAGTATTATTTTACGTACACAAACATTATCTGTTAACCTATTCCAACATAAGGTGTATGCATTTGGATGTGTGGTTTGTGTTCAGAGATAGTTTTATTACGATACTCGACTCTACTCTAATTTTTTATTATCGGTGGTCTTTTATTTATTTGATCTCTTGTTGTAGTTCGTTTATCGATACAGGCATATCTATTAGCATCTCTATTTTGTTCAAGTATTTTGGATGAACTTTTAACTTTTTCCTTGTATGACCCCTATATGATCTTAAGTGACTAATTTCATGTTAATGTTTATAGGAAATATCCTAATATGCGTTTAATTTACATTTATAGTTGTAAATTATCATTGTAAATTTAGGTTTTTTCCCAATAAAATTAACCACTTCTATTTGCGTCAAATTTTTTCACACATATTTAGGATTGTTGGATGAGTGAAAATAGATGACTGAGATTGATTCATTGTTTGTTCTTTTAGTGAATATCTTCTCACTTCTTACTGTTAATCTCAGATATTCGAATATGGAATCTCAAAGATCTTATGATCTCAACCTTGTCATTAAACTAAGACCTTATTCAGAGGCAAATCTAGGGTGTTTGACAAGGGCCAAGCCCCCTATATTCTATAAAATTCTATTTTGTTCTTTAAAACAAAATTATGTAAAAGGGTAAATTGTATTTGCCCCTTAAATTCTTCAGATATTCACTTTAGTCCTTAAAATGAATGTCTAAAAAAAATATATGGAAAGAATATATATCATTACTCCATCTTAGAAAGCTAATAATTTAATTAAGCTCCTTTTGTCACTTCATTAAATGGAAGATTTTTATTTTTTGGCCTCTCTTAAAAATTAATAATTCAAACAAAACCCTTCTAACACACATTTATATAGTGAACAAGATCGACGAAGGTAGAAAATTTTCTACCTTGATCCTCAACATAAAATTTCAAGTTAAAAGATCAACGAAGGTAAAAAAAATTCTACCTTGATCATTAACATAAATTTTCAAGTTAAAAGATCGACGAAGGTAGTAAAAAATTTATCTTGATCCTCATCATAAATTTTCTACCTTTGTCGATCTTGTTCACTATATAAATGTATTATGAAGTATGAATATTTACATATATATAGTAAAACAATAATGCATAGTGTGTGATGTATGTAGTGAGAAGATGTAGGGAATTTGGGGTATGGAGATGAGCGTGAGAAAGAAAATGAACTTGTAAGTAGGGATGGATCGAGAGATGAGTGGGGAGAGTCACTCTCTCAAACTTTAAAATTATCATATATTTCAAAGTTTTTTTTATATTTTTTATTAAAAATCTATTTTCGCTTCTGAAATTTTATAAATTTAAGTTAGTCTACCTTAAATTAAAGTTTACCCCTAACATAAAATTTTAGGTATGTCCCATTTTTTTTCCATGTGAACCGTCTTTTAAGAGCCCCTACCCTTTGTCTTCAAATCAGACTCACATGGACTCTAATGTGACCCACTGACCCTTATTGTTTATTCATTTACCCCCCAGCTTCTTGGTCCCTTCCATCATCTCACGATGGCATTTATGTTGGCATTTATATATATATTTTATGTTAAAATAATCACTTTAATAATTGGTTTCAAAAACTATAAAACAATCCTCACATGTATCAAATAGTTATAAAATAATCATTAAATTCTATCAAATTTTTATAAAACAATCATTAAAATCTATAGAACTATAATAAAATGATCACCGAATTTATCAAACTTATACAATAGTTACGACACCGCAATAATCATTTTGTAACAATTTGATAAATTTAATTATTTTAAAAATTTGATGACTGAAATAATTATTTTAAAATAATTATTTAAAAACTTAAACATGGAGATTTAGATCTTAAAACTAATTAATAATTAAGAAAAGTAAAAGTCAAGGACCAGCTGGCTTGAAATATTAAATACCTTGTTTTTTATTCTTATTATTATTATTATTACAGTTGAATTATTTTCGGAATTAAAAATATTCGGGGAAAATTAAATATTTCATATAGTGCATTTATTGGCCTTTTAATTTCTTATAGCGCCTTGTTATTCTTCAAAAAATTTAAAATTTTTATTAGGTTTTTTATATTTTATAAATATTTTTGTTAGAATTATATGACTAGGGATGGCAACGGGCCGGGTTCGGGTCGGGTATTGGTCTCCCATCCCCGTCTCCGTTTAAAAAGTCCATATCCGTCCCCGTTTAAAAACCGCGGAGATTTAAACGGGGATCCCCATCGGGTAATCGGGGAAAACCGCGGGGAAACGGGTATCCCCGTTTCCGTTTAGCATAAACAGTTATTTAAACGGGTATCGGGCTGGGTATTGGGCCGGGTATATATATATTTAAATTAAATATATAAATATAATATATATATATATATATATATATATATATTAATTTAAATTAATATATATTTAATTTAAATTAAATTTATTAATATATATATATATATAATTATATTTAATATTTATCGAGCCGGGTATCGGGTTGGATAATCGGGTAATCGGGGTGGGGATTACCAAACCCGTCCCCGTCCCCGTTTAGCATAAACGGTTTTTTCCCATCGAGTTCGGGTTTTTTGTCATCCCTATATATGACTTGAATTTTGTTTAATCTGAATTAAAAATTTTGTAATACAATTTATTTATTTAATAAATAAAATAGTTAGAAAATAGGGAGACTTACAAGGTGAAGGATCCGTTAGATTCGAGTCCATCTATTTCCAAAATGGATAAACGACTTGTTGTTGGGTTGAGGTTTGGGATGGATATGGATCCGGTCGAATTTTTGGTCAACTTAATCCGAACCATAATGATAACCCTCCACCCGAAACATGATTCGAGTTTAGAGATGATTTTATTCGATCTGAATTCAACCTAATTTTCTGAAATAAAATTCAAATTCGATTTGAGTCGATTTGGATTAAATATATTTATAAAAAAATATATTATTTTTTATTTAATAAAAAAATGAATTTAATTGAAAGAAATATATAAAAGGATTATTATTATAATGATCCTAAATATATAAGCTAAATTTATATTATTTTCAGATTGGGTCGGGTATATTTTATTTTAAATCTGAACTCGATCTAACTCAACTTGAACTTAATACTATTAAAAAAATCTGATCCAATCAGATCAGATCAGGCCAGAACACTTCGAGTTCAGATCTCGTGCCTATCCTAATTAGGTAATTGAAATAAGACCCATCAACCTATCCAAATTCTTGACCCGACCCGAGCCGATATTGGCCCCTTCCTCACTCTAACCCACTGTTTTCTTCCTGTCTTTTTGCAATTTCAAAATCTATCTCTCGGACTCCACCGATCTCTGTCACCAGATAAAATTTTCTTCATATATTCTTAATCTTTTTCCAAAATCCGAAAGAACCGACCCTGTGACCTGAAATGGCGGCGTATAGAACAGACGATGACTACGATTATTTGTTCAAACTAGTATTGATCGGAGATTCGGGTGTTGGGAAATCGAATTTGTTGTCGAGATTTGCGAGAAACGAGTTTAACCTCGAGTCAAAGTCCACAATAGGAGTAGAATTTGCAACCCGAAGTATTCGGGTCGATGATAAGGTCATCAAGGCACAGATTTGGGACACTGCTGGGCAAGAAAGGTAGATCTTTTAAAACTTTTTATTTGTTTATTTTGCTTACAATTATTTCATGAAGTTGGAGTATTTGGTAATTTGGAGCTGTTTAGTAGCTGCTGGAGAAATGTTGGAAAATTAGATTCAAGTAGCTCTTATCATTTTTGCTTCTCGTCTGTTTTTGTAAGTGTTCGTTGGGGGAATTTTTTTAGTGATTTGTTTTGGGGGAAAAGAAGGTGCTTTTAGACTACAGGATTGCTTTGGTGAAGTTTAAGGGTTAGGGTTTCCTTTGTTTGGGCTGTTTGGTTGCTAAGAAAATGTGGAGCAAACTGCATTCAGAATTTTCCTTTTATGTTAAAGCATGTGTGGACTTCGATTGTTGTTATTTGATGAAAAGTATGTTTTTTTTCCTTCTGGGATTCATGTATTGATCTAAATGTCACGGTTTGAAGAGGATTTCATTTGTATATCCAATCCATGGCATGTTGGTCTCGAATTCCACATGTTAACCTTGTTCTGTCTTGAAGTTCCTTTAGATGTCTGAAATTTAAGACATTCTTTTAGCTGTAAACGCCGATGCTTGGATTTGTATCGGAACATCTTTACACCTCCTCGGAGGGCATGTTTTCGTTTTTGCTTTAACTCTGTGCTATACGAAGGCTTGTCTTGCGGACCTGGATGTTCTGCAAATTGTTGCCCGGATGATTTTCTCAGTGATATTTCCCCAGGAGAGTATATAGACCAGAGTGAGCTTCCATGAAAACATTATTTGTATAAGCTTTAGATGTCCTTGATTTATAGATTGAGAGACCTAAGGCCTTTTCGAATTAAATGGCACCAGCATTGAGAACTTGTAGAGCATGAAATGAACGTTCTGCGTTGTCTCTCCTTGAAGTCGAACATTAGGGTGCCGGATGGCCGAGTTGTTACCATCGCTGGAGTTGTCAAAGCTTGATATGTTCCATAAGCTTTTTAATAGTTGTTTTCTTGTTATATATATATATTTTTTCAGATACCGGGCGATTACAAGTGCATACTACCGAGGAGCCGTTGGTGCGTTGCTCGTCTATGACGTCACTCGACACATCACGTTTGAGAATGTTGAGAGATGGTTGAAAGAACTACGGAATCACACGGATTCTAATATCGTGATTATGCTCGTCGGTAACAAGGCAGACCTACGACACCTGCGTGCCGTTTCCATGGAGGACGCCAAAGCCTTTGCCGAGAAAGAAAATACGTACTTTATGGAGACATCTGCCCTCGAGTCCCTGAACGTAGAGAATGCGTTCACCGAAGTGCTGACTGAAATCTACCATGTCGTAAGTCGAAAAGCACTCGAAGTAGGGGATGATCCTGCAGCATTGCCTAAGGGGCAAACCGTCAACGTCGGAACCAAAGACGATGTTTCGGCCATCAAGAAACTCGGCTGCTGTTCGGATTAATCGTTATATGATTTCGAGTGTCGAAAAGTTTCCTCAAACTTTCTTTCTCATTAAGAAAACCTTCCCTCGTTGTGTACTATTATCCTTTAAGCTTCCCCAGTTTTAACAGCATTACCCAAGTTTTAACAGCAAAAAAATCTTTTGTCTAACGATTTTATCCCAAATATATTATCCTTGCATGATATTTCTGGTCTTTATAATTTTATACTAATATTTTATTTTAATTTATGTTGATAAAAAATAATCATTACACATAATAATAAACTAATTATTCATCTTTGATAAATGACTCACGATTAGGGATGGACATGGGTCGGGTCGGGTTGAGTTATCATCCATTTAACCGACCCAAAAATTATACATAATCTATGTAATCTGAATTCGACTTGAAAAATATGCACCTTCTACTTGATTTGAACTCGATCTGCCTTTTTTTGAACCCAATTTGAAATAATATATTTATTAAAAAATATTTTTTTTATTTAATAAAAATATGAATTTAATTGAAAAATAATAAACAAATAGGTATTATTGTAATTATTCTTACATATATAAGGTAAAATTATAAATTTTTTTCTAGTCGAGTTGAATATTTTTTATCCTAAACCCGACCCTAATATAACTTCTAAAAGACCCCGACTTGACCAAATAAATATATTTAGATCTTGACAAATGGATTTAATTTATAAGTAGATTAAAAATTAACTCATCTTGAATCTAATTTAATACGTTTTTTATTAAATTAAGGTGATTACAAAGTAGTATTTATTATAAATATTCTCAATCATTTGACAATAAACACTCAATCACCTTGTTGCAACCGTTGGTACTCGAACTCGTGACCTCTAGGAATAACACTGATTCCTTTAACTATTGAGATAAGTTGGTTTGTGCATCTAATATGTTTTTTAACTCGATTAAACACGACTATATATATATCGAAAGTAAACTTATTTCGATAGAATAAATCATTCATTCCAAATTCATCATTGAATAAGGAGGAAAATGGCAACCAAATGGATATAGGAAGTTGAAGATTGGTTGTGTCGGTATAGTGGCGGAACTTGGAGATAGAGAATGAGAGGTCAACTTAAACATCAAGAACTAAGAGGTTCAAATTAAAATTTTAATTTTTTTGAAGGGTTTAGTTTAAATTTTCCCCAAAAAATTAGGGTCTAACTATTTTTTTTTTAAAAATTGAGAGGCTAATGAGAATTTTTAAAAATTATAGAAGGGGTTTAATTAAAAAGATTAAAAATTTTAAAGTTTAATATGAAATTCAAAAAATTTTGGGGGCAAAATTAAATATTTTAAAATTTTTATGGGTCTAAATTATAATTTTTGAATGGGTAAATTATATCAATCTTCACTGAACTCTACTCTCTCATATTTCACTCATTGCACTTAAAATATGTTCAATTTATTCACTGAATTTAACACAATTAGTATTTTTGGTCACTCAGTCGTTTCTCGCTAAACGACGTTATAAATGAGTTGTTATAGATACAAAATGACGTCATTTTAATGAAAATTTTATTTTTCTAAAACAGGGTCATTTTAACACCATTAAATATTAAACGGATGAGTGGCAAAATATGCTAATTGTATTAAATTCAGTGAAAAAATTGAATGAAATTAAAGTACGGTGAGTGAATAGGAGAGAGATTAAAGTTCAGTGATGATCATTGTAATATACTTTTTAAATTTTGCGAGGGCTATGGTTCCGCTAGTCCCGTGTCGGTAGGCTTGGAAAATGGACAAAATCCATCACAAAATATCAATATAAATATTAATTATTTTATTATTATTATTTTAATAAAACTGGTAAAAAATTACTGAAAAAATTATTATTTTTATTGGTTTTATTATTATTGAGCGTTTTATCGGGTTTGATAATATATCCAATAGAAAAAAATAATGTTTAGGTAGCTCTTTATCGGATATATTACCAAACTCAGTAAAGAGCACAATAATAAAACCGGTAGAAATAATAATGTATTAGATGATTTTTTACCGATTTTGTTAAAAAAATAATAACAAAACCGGTAGAGTATTTCTTTAGTCGTATATTAAAGTTGTCATACGTTAGAACTTCCTAAATTAAGTGATAATTATGATAATAATAATTTATTTAAAACATCAATATAAATATTAATGCATTTTAAAATATTTCATTATAATTATTTTATCTTATGATAACGGTCATGTTGAATTTATACATTACAAGATTTCTTTATCGAGTTTCTGATAATTTTAAAAATATACAAATTATCTTAAATTAATAAATAAAAAACCAAGTTAATATTTTGATTTCCAAAAGTATATGATCTTACCATAAATTTACAGAAAAAGTATATAATACCCTTAAAAATTCTAAATTATTCTAAAAAACAAATCAAATTGTATAATAATTAATTATTGAGTTAATTAAAGTTATTATATTAAAATATTAAATAAGTAAACCATTTTAATTTGGTATATATTTTTAATTTAAAATTATTAATTATATCCAATTTTATTCAACTTACATGTTTTAAATAAAACTTACACCAGAAACGTAGTTTTCAACATTCCTCTCAAGATGATGCTAAAATAGTAGGAAAGTATAAAATATAATTTGTTAATACAAAATTAAAAAATGACATAAATTGAATATAATAATTTTTTTTACCAAGAACATAACTTTTTAAGATTGATGATATATTTTAAGTTGAAATAAAAAATTAATCGAACTGAAATTATTATAAATTTGGTAATTTTTTCGGTTGTAAATCCTTTACTTGTTGCAATATAACTTTTCTGTTACAATAGAAAATGTTGCAAATTGTATAACTTTTTAGGTTGCATGTAATAATTTCTATGTTAAAAATCGTCAGAAATTAACCTTAAATTAGATTGTCGCGTAGCATAATTGTCTATAGATAGTATGTTCATTGTCAAATAGTTGAGAGTATTTGGAACAAATACTATCACTTCTGAGTACATAATATTAATAAAAAAGGAAAATTTATGCGTTTAGTACTTAAACTATCAGTTTTGATCCGTTTTAATACCTAAACTGTTAATTTTTCATAATTATACCTGAAATTTAATTTTTGTTTATTTTAATATCATTGTTCAAAATTTAACGTTAAATTTTGAAGAAAAAAAATTAAAAAATTAAAATACTAAAACGAATTAAAATTAATAATTTAAATATTAAACACGTTAATTTTTAACAGTAGGATATTTAAATGAAACACAAATTAAAAAAATAAAAATTTAACTAAAACTATACTAAAAGTACTAAATGCTCGTGTTACCCTAGTAAAAAAAAATTGTAGGCGTTATAAACCAGGTTGATCTTTAGTCTCTAGCGGCTTTGGTTGCAGATCTCCTTATCTGTTCATTCAACAAAGACAAAAGGAAAAAGAAGAAAAAAGATGAGCAAATCCGAGTTCTCAAAGCTTCACATTGCCATGTTTCCATGGGTTGCCTATGGTCACTTCATCCCCTTCCTCCATCTCTCAAACAAGCTTGCTGAAAAAGGCCATCAAATTTCATTCCTTTTGCCTAAAGGTGTGCAACCAAAGCTTGAAAACTCGAACCAATACCCCACTTTGATTCACTTCTTCCCTCTCCTTCTTCCCCATGTCGATGGCCTCCCTCCACATGCTGAAAGTACATCTGTTGTTCCCCTGAACCAACAAAAACACCTTGCTTTTTCTGTTGATCAAACCAGAGATCAAGTTGAATCCATCTTCAAGGCCATAAAACCTGATATAGTTGTTTATGATTTCTGGTTTTGGATCCCATCTTTGGCTCGCCAACTCGGTATTCGTTCCATGTTGTATGTAGTTGTTTCCTCCATGTCGATAGCGTACAACACTAAGATGGTAGCAAAAGAAACGACTCCAGAAGAGGCGACTGAGTTGCCTCCTGATTGGCCTTCTTCCGCCGTGAGATTCAAAGCAGAAGAGGCTCCTATAGTGCTGTTTAAGGCTGAGGATTTCGGGAGTGGACTGACGTTTTACGAAAGGATAAGGACTACCATTGTAGAAAGTGATGCTGTTGCTTTCAGGACTTGTTATGAAATCGAGGGACCATATTGTGATTATGTTGCTAAAGGATTCGGAAACCCTGTTTTGTTAACCGGGCCTTGCTTGCCCGAAACGAAGACCCCAATGCTTGATGAGAAATGGGCTAATTGGCTGAGTCAGTTCGAGCCAGGATCCGTTGTTTTGTTCATTTGGAAGCCAGAGTCAGTTGCAGAAAGATGAGTTCCAGGAGTTGGTTCTTGGGTTCGAGTCATGTGGGTTACCATTTCTGTTAGCTTTGAAGCCGCCGGAAGGATGCTCGACAGTAGAAGAGGCACTGCCGGAGGGGTTCCAAGAGAGGGTTGAAGGAAGAGGGTTGGCATATGGTGGTTGGGTTCCACAAGAGCTGCTATTACACCACCCAAACATAGGGTGTTTTGTGAACCACTGTGGGTATGGAACAATGTGGGAGTTTCTACTCAGTGACTGTCAAATCGTGTTGATTCCTGAAATTGGGGATCAAATTCTGAACACTAGGTTGTTGGTGAATGAACTCCAGATCGGTGTAGAAGTTGAGAGAGGTAAAAACAGACAGGTCTCAAAGGAATCATTGAGTCGAGCCATCGAGTTTGTGATGGACAAGAGCAATGAAACAGCTAATATGTTGAGGGCAAACCATGCTAAGCTGAAGCAAAAACTATCTAACAGAGATCTTCAAGAAGAATATATCAACAATTTAATCCAAGCTCTGCAGGATCTTGTCAAAAAATAGGAACAAAATGGATAAATCCAATGTAGAATCCTATTTCTGCTTGGTAATGAACAATTATAGGCTAAAACTTAATATTGTAGCATGAGATTGCATAATGGAAGTCTGTACAAATGTTGATAATTACAGAGCCAACAAATATTTGTTTGCCTGTTAGATATCCACAAGTTCATTTACAAAATACTCGCAAATATCGATTTATGGTTTAAACAGACCATAAACCATTTTATGTAGTTTACTACTTTTGTTGGATAAAAGTCACCCCCATGCTTTATACATCCTTGGATTATGTGGCTAATGCCTCCGATTTGCATATCGGGCATTCGTTCTTCACCAGGAGCCATTTT